ACGGCTGCCAAAGCTGCCGCCGAGGGACGCCGAGCGGCGCTGGGGGCTGAGGGCAGACCGCGGGAGCTGCCAGGAGAGCCAGGCGGCCGAAGCGCAGCCATCCCAAAAGGCGAGACCACCGGGAAGACGAACGAATTGCACCCTGTCGCGCCAGGCGCCAGAGGTAGTCGCGCCACCGAGCGCGGCAAAGCGCGAGGCTGCAAGAGCCGCCCAGCGCACCAGTGCTGCATGCCAACGGCGAGCTGGCGGGGATACTTTTTGATTGCGAGTGGCGCGGAATCAGCGGCGCACCGTCAAGAAAGGTCGAACGAAGTGCAAGGCCGCGCAAGTGCAAGGCAGCGGAAAAAGAAACGAGCCACTACGCGGACAGCGCAAGTGGGACGAAGACAGAACGAAGCGAGAGAGAGAGAGAGAGAGAGAGAGAGAGAGAGAACAAAAAAAAAAACAAACAAAAAAAAAAAAAAAAGGCGAGAGAGAGAGAGAGAGAGAGAGAGAGAGAGAGAGAGAGAGAGAGAGAGAGAGAGAGAGAGAGAGAGAGAGAGCGGAAGACGCAAGAGCGAGGAAAAAGTGGAAACGAGGCGAAACAGACGAGAAGGCAAGCCACGGCTCACGCCCAAACCGGGTAGGAGACGACCGCCCCTTGCCGAACAACCGAAATTTGTAGCAAGGCTGACCCAAGCCAGTCCAACGCACGCAGCTCTAACGTCACAGAGCGCCCGCAAGTACGAGGGGCGAGTGAGCGCACGGCACGCAGACACCATCCGCCAGGTCACCTCCAGGACCGCGCACTCCGCCGAAGGTCGCCGCCACAGCGTGCCACGAGAAGGCAAGCCACGAGCCCGGCCAGGCAAGCGCACGGCACCGTCTCGGGTCCTCCGCCGATGGAGTACGCTCCGGCGGCGACAGAGGCATACCAAGCCAGCCCGGGGGGATGGCCAGCCTGGGCCTGCCACGTGCGCAAACTCAGAGCGGGGGGGTGCGCCGCCTGAAACCAGAAGCTCGATGGGGGGGGCCAGCTCAGGCCCGCCGGGCGGGCAGCCTCCGAGCGATGGGGGGCGGCATCGCGCGAGTCCTGTAGCACACTGAAACATACTGGTGACTGGCCTGGGAGCGGCGAGCGGGGGGGTATCCAAATGCCGCTCTGTGCCAAGAGCAAGGTGGGGGGCTCACGGCTGCACCGCATGAGAATGCCAGGTGCTCTGGTAGGGCGCGGCCAACAGCCGCGGAAACGTGGGAAAGAGGCTGTCGCTTGAGACAGACTGGGGTCAGACATGGAGAGGCAGGCGCGGGGGAAGCCGATTGCTGTCCACGACCAAGAACGGGGGAGTGGGGATCACCCCTCCTTATTTCCAGGCCGATCTGTGTTGACTACCTCTCTCCATAAGGTTCGCCTGCCGCCGTAGTCCACTCGCAGGCCCGCGACAAGCGAGGCCATGCCCACTGTGAACAACCTTACCTGATAATATAGTGTTCCTCGGAAGCCGAGTCGCATATGTGATCGGATCTGGAACTTCAACGCGAGTGTACCCACTCTGTTGTATTGCAGCGTCGATGAGTGTCCTAGAGGTACTATATCATCCCACGTGAGAAAAAGTTGTTGACGTTCTGCAACCTCCTGCTTAGCTTTCTTGATCACAATCGGACCCTGCCCGCTCATACTTATACCGTGAACATGTTAAGATATGGAAAGAAGCTCGACTGCTTGAGCACACATGCTAGAACATATATAGTGGCAAGCACTGCAAGATGCAGGGTATGAACAAGAGCTTCGCCAGGATGGTGACTCTGCTGTGCTGGCTTGCAACTAACAGCAGAAATAATAAGGGAAAAGCTCGGACCGAAGGGAAAAGCCGCAGTGCGACTGGGGGTAGCTTCGCCTGCAATGAACGGATCCTGTGGTAGGGTGCAGCTGACAGGCACGGAAGGCTTGCACTGGCAACGCATGAGAGTGCCCGGTGCTCTGGTAGGGCGCAGCTAACAGCCGCAAGAAGGGGGAACGATTGCTTTCGCCTGAGACAAATGAATTGGCGGCTGGCCTGGGAGCGGTGAGTGGGGGGGTAGCCGGACGCTGCCCCGTGCCAGAAGCGGGGGGGAGAAGCTCGCGAAAGCACCGCGGGAGAATGCCAGGTGCTCTGGTAGGGTGCAGCTAACAGCCGCGGACATGTGGAAAATATGTTTTCGCCTGAGACATACAGGAGGTAGGACGGGGAGCGGCACACGGGGGGGTAGCAGATTGCCGTCCACGACCAAGGGCGGGGTTGAAGTGGCACCCCACGCTGCAGGATGCTGGGTATGAACAGTAGCCTCGCAATGGTGGTGACGACGATCCGCTGGGTTGCAGCTGACGGCCGCAGGAATAGGACAGACTCTTTTGTAGCCAGCCGCAGGCGAGCGCGCCGACGGCGTGTAAGGTCCGAGCGGGCCGCACGAGGGCCTAAAGTACCCAGCAAGAGCAGGCCAGGCCTACCGCCGAAGCCTCAGCGCTGGGCCAGCAAGAGGAGCCGGGGGGGGAAGGCTGCGGGCTGCAGACTGCCAGCGGGCTGCAAACGTGCGACAACCTGAGAGCCGGGCTACCAGGTGTGAATTGAACTGCAGAGAATTAACCAACCGCTGCGAACTGCAGGGGCTTACCTCAAGCCGGCGGGGCCTCAGGCACCACCACGGCGGACAGGGCCGGCGGGTGGGGGCGTGCAGGCTGCGGCTGCCAGGGAGCTGGACCAGGGCAATAGTAGGAAAGATACGCGAAACGTCAAGAATCCGAAATGAACAACAGCATGATGACAACATAAGCAATCAAAGATGGTGGTGCGAACACTGACAACAGAAACCTAGTTATGTAAAAAATATGAATATATGAATATATAATAATAATAATAATAATAATAATATTAATAATAGTAATAATAATAATAATAATAATAAAAAAATAATAAGAATGAAAAAATAATAATAGTAGTAATGATAATAATAATAATAATAATAATAACAACAACAACAACAACAACAATAATAATAATAAAAATAATAATAATAAGAATAAGAATAAGAATAAGAATAATAATGAACAGACGGAGAAAGAAGAACGAAACGAGAGCAGATGAAAGCGAACACGGGAGACCTTATGGTCCTCCTCCTCCTCCTCCTCCTCCTCCTCCTCCCACCCTTCTGATTATCCTCCTCCTCCTCCTCCTCTACCATCCCCGTCCTCCTCCTCCTCCTCCTCCTCCACCATCCACCCTCCACCCTCCACCCCTACTCCTCCTTTCCATTTCCTGCCTCTTCCCGTTTTCGCTTTCCTCCAACTCCCCCCTGCTCCTCCCGCGCTCTCCTCCTCCTCCTCCTCCTCCTCCTCCTCCTCCTCATCCTCCTCCTTCTCCCTCCTACCCCTCGTCCTCCTATCCCCTCCTCCTCTCCCCCCCCCACGTCCTCCTCCTCCTCCTCCTCCTCCTCCTCCTCCTCCTCCTCCTCCTCTTCCTCCTCTTCTTCCTCCTCCTGATGCTCGCCATCATACCACCATCGCCATCACCACCACCATGGTCATCATCACCACCACCACCACCACCACCGTCATCCTCACAGATCACCATCATCGTACCACCATCCTCGTCATCATCCCCCTCCCCCGTCCTATTCCTCCCCTGAGATCCGACGCTGCGACAAAAATTGCAGTACCGTGAAAAAACGCAGAAACCCTAGACCCCATCATTCTGCAGCACTTTTCGAGCCAGATCGATCTGAGGGTCCCAGAGACCGAAAGCGGGCGAAAAAAAAATGCGAAGCCTGGATCTGAGGGTCCCTCCCCCCGTCGGCTTCCTGGTCATAGCTCGGGTCTCCGGCGGCTGTTCGGGTCGATCTAGGCACCCCCAGAACGCTCTTGGCGAGGCGCAGCTGCCAGAAGGCATACCGAGGTTGGAGAACCTGAGGGGCAACGATTGGCGGGGCTGGCATAGGGGAGGAAATATCGACCTGGAATCGGCGATGCATCGCAGATGGGTCTGCGAGAGGCCCCCGATAGCGAAAAAACGCACGTTCCTGGGCGGGGTAGGGCTATCAGACACCTCTCCGCAATCAATGTGCGATTGAGGGCCAATGCATCCCCACCAATGCCTGCCACCCCCTTGTCGTGGCCCCCGAGAACCGCCGAGCACCGACGAAACCGTCCAGAAGCCTCCATCTCAGGGGGCCCGAGGCCCTCACGGTCTCTCGGCGGCGAGCCCAGGGGGGGAAGGTGAGCAGCGGCGGGCCCTCCTCGGAAGCCTTGGAAGCCCCCGTGGCCTTCTGAGAAGTTTTCTGGCCCAGATATGCGACGTCCTGATCCTTTCGGGACGGCGTCCCTCCCGGGGCCGGTTCTTCATCCTGAGTCGTTCTTACGGTCCTGGGGGCCAGCGAGGGCCTCTATAGGTCGAAAATTAGCGAAACACCTCCCGTCCTGATTTTTGCACGACGCCATCCTGTCTGGGGAGCCTCCCCCGAGGACACCGGAAACCCTCTCAGAAGCCCCGACGAGGCCTTCTGAGGATCCCCGCCGCCCTCTGACAAGGCCTTCTCCTTCTTCCTTCCCCCCCCCTCGCTCGCCGCCGAGTCTCGCTCGCCACCGGCCCCTCCTCCTCCTCCTCCTCCTCCTCCTCCTCCCTCCTCCTCCTCCTCCTCCTCCTCCTCCTCCTGCTCCTCTCCTCCTCCTTCTCCTCCTCCTCCTCCTCCTCCTCCTACTGCTCCTCCTCCTTTTTCTCCTCCTCCTCCTCCTCCTCCTCCTCCTCCTCCTCCTCCTCATGCTCCTGCTCCTCCTCCTCCTCCTCCTCCTCCTCCTCCTCCTCCTCCTCCTCCTCCTCCTCCTCCTCCTCCTCCTCCTCCTCCCCCTCCGCCTCCTCCTGCTCCTTCTCCTCCTCCTCCTCCTCCTCCTCCTCCTCCTCCTCCTCCTCCCCTCCTCCTCCGCCGCCTCCTCCTCCTCCGCCTCCTCCTCCTCCTCCTCCGCCTCCTCGGGGCCGCCCCGCGGCGGGCGCCTGCCAGGATCTGGTGCAGGAAGCGACACGCCTCCGGCTCCTCGGCCCGCCCATGCTGCACGATGTAGGCCGCCGGGCCCGGGGGGAGCGGGCCGCCGAGGGCACGCGGGAGCGGGGGCGCGCCCTCGGAGCCCTCCGCGTGCCTCGTCGTCGTCGTCGTCGATGTCGTCGTCGTCGTCGTCGTCGTCGTCGTCGTCGTCGTCGTCGTCGTCGTCGTCGTCGTCGTCGTCCGTCGTCGTCGTCGTCGTCGTCGTCGTCGTCGTCGTCGTGGTCGTCGTCGTCGTCGTCGGGAGCGTCGTCGTCGTCGTCGTCGTCGTCGTCGTCGTCGTCGTCGTCGTCGTCGTCGTCGTCGAGTCGTCGTCGTCGTCGTCGTCGTCGTCGTCGTGGTCGTCGTCGTCGTCGTCGTCGTCGTCGTCGTCGTCGTCGTCGTCGTCGTCGTCGTCGTCGTCGTCGTCGTCGCCGTCGTCGTCGTCCGCCCACCCCAATGTCGCTGGCGCCAGTCCGCCTGGCATGTAAGTTCGCGTCCATGGTCTTGAATCCTAGCTTTCCCTTCCAATCCACTTCGAAGAGGGCGGGGGGAACAGAAGGAGGGAGGGAGGAAACGAGGGGGGGAGAGAGGGAGGAGGCAGTGGGGATGAAGCAGGAGGGAGTAGGGATGAACGATGAAAAGGAGGAAAACAGGGAATGCCAAGACGAGCTCGCGCCACATCTGATATCCTGCCCCTCCCACTCATTCATCCCCGTTGAGCTATTTGTTGCATCTATCCTCCGACGGGTGTCACAGCGGACCTGGAACCACCAAACGGACACAACCGTGCGATGCACAATCGAAGAGAGGGAGCATTGTAAAGAGGAGGAAAGGGAGGACGACGAGGGATTCTCTGTCGCTCCCTCCTCCCCCTCCTCCTCCTCCTCCTCCTCCTCCTCCTCCTCCTCCTCCTCCTCCTCCTCCTCCTCCTCCTCCTCCTCCTCCCCCCCTCCTCCTACACCCCCTTCTCCTCCTCTTCCCTGTCCCCCTCCTCCCCCTCCTCCTCCCCCTCCTCCCCCTCCTCCTCCCCCTACTCCACATCCTCCTCCCCCTCCCTCCAGAAAAGTAGCTGGGCCCAGCCCGCCCCCCCTCTCCGGTCAGTTCCTGCTCTGCGCGCCGGCAGAGCCGACGCGGTATTAGGGGCACCAGCGCAGGGGCGCGGCCGAGGCGAAAGCCGCACTCGCCCCGCACCGCAGGCGATGCCGCACGAAGGCGACGGTAGCAACGCTCAGCATGTCGGTGGCCCACCAGAAGGCTCCTCCTCCTCCTCCTCCTCCTCCTCCTCGTCCTCCTCCTCCTCCTCCTCCGCCTCCGCCTCCGCCTCAGAACAACATCGAACATGAAAGGCGCCAGCAGAGTTCGGGAAGGGTTGCCACGTCAGTATCAGGCAGTGCGACACACATATACACCGAGGCGCTGGATACTCTCAGGCGCACCAAAGGATTGCAAGCAGAATCAAGACCGAGAGGTCCCTAGCAAGAACGCAGCCTCGGCATGTGTCGTTTAGGTGCCGCCAGGTCAGGGCGCATCTTCTTCCGCCGTTTGAGCTGCACCCGCGGGCGCCGCCAGAGGGGCCTGGCCGCGCAGCTCCAGGCGCCCTGGCCGGAGACGACCCGGGGCCGGGGCGGGGGCGGCGACAAGGAGCGGAGCGGGCGAAGGCCTCGATCTGATGCTGGACACCATCGCCGTTAGAACAAAAGTCGCGATAGGTCCCCCTCTGTCGTTGGACGCCCTCGCGGGCCATCGCGCGCCCTGCCTCTCGGAGCCCCCGCCGCGACCAACCCGCCTCGCTCGACTGCCGCGGGGGGCGCGGCCGCTCGCGCACTGGCCCCCCCCATCCCCTGCGCGGCGCCGCGGACAGGGCGGCTCCGACGGGGGCCCCTGCTCTCTGGATCTGCACGCGCGGGCTCGGCACCTCCGCGGGCCATCCTCTGGGAGCTTGGCTGCTTCAACCAGCCAGCCGCGGCCAGCCATCGACCTCGGCAGCGCGGCTTCTCCGCGGCCGCGGAGCAAAGTGCGCACCTTGGGCTGCGCGCCTGGCTCCTGGGAGGCGGGCAACATTGAAGGGGCCCTGGGACACGCAAATAAATACACACAGGCAAGAGGACGGCCCAACGGGCCAGAGGCGTGCTAAGATCTCCGGTAACTGGTTAACAATTCTCTAGTTCGCGCGCGCGGGGCAGCCCCTGGGGGTCCCCGGACGAAAAGTACCCCGGGCGACTCCCGGCTGATCCCCAGGCGAAGCCACCAGAGCGCTCCATGAGCGCACCAACAGGGCTCCGAGACGTCCCCGAGAGCCCCAAGAAAGGCCAAGAGGCCCCCAAGAGGCCCCCAAGATGGTACACGAGGGGTCCGACATGCCACAAGATCGCTCCAAGACGCCCAAGATAGCCCCCAGACGCCCCAAGAGGCCTCCAAGAGCACTCCCAAGAGGGCCCCCGGAGGCAAAATTCATTGCTTTTCCTTAGGTTTTTGAAAGATTTTGGAGCTTCCACCTTTTCGGCTTCCCGACGCCCCAAGACGGCCCAAGAGGCCCCCAAGATCGCCCCAAGAGGGCCCAAGAGGCCCCCAAGAGGGCCCCAAGATGGCCCAAGAGGGCTCGAAGACGGCCCAAGAAGCCTCCAAGACGGTCCAAGAGGGCCCCAAGAACGCCCCCAAAGGGGCCCCAGAGAGGGAACACGAAACAACATTTCGAGCCCTCGGCCCTAAGAAGCCCCTACGAGGCCCCAAGAGGCCCCTAAGAGGCCCCAAGAGGCCCCCACGAGGCCCTCAGGAGGCCCCCAAGAGTCCCCCAAGCGGCCCCAGGAGGCCCCCCAAATGCCCCCCCGAGCGCCCCAGGAGTCCCCCAAGCGGCCCCAGGAACCCCCAAAGCGCCGCATTGACACCAGGCCCTCGGGCAAACGGCAGACATGAGACCGTATGGGCCAGCGGAATGAGCGAAGCGATTCAATAAATACACACAGACAAAAGGATTCCCCATATTTTCCCATATCGTCTGGGTTTCTGTCTTCCCCCCCACTGCCCATGCTTTCCCATATTTTCTGGGAATCGACGATTAACTGTGTCTGTGTGTCTTTCTCCTTCTGAAACATCACCCATTCCTCGACCCAGAAGCGAGCCGTGTCCAGGCCCCCCGACTCCAGCACCTCGCGGAGCCCGCCGCAGCCCCGCGGGCATCGATCGAAGCTCGACCGAGGCACCCCCTGCGCTCGATGCGCAGCAGAGCGCCCAGGGCCCCCGAGAGGCAGGCGAAACTGAGGAGACAAACCTCGCCGATCCTTCCTCGATTCACTCCTCCTCCTCCTCTTTCTCCTAATCCTTTCCCCCCCCCCTGGGCACGGCGTGGCGGCGGAGAGGAACCATCGGCGCACCTTGCAACCGCCCTCTCCTCACCCTCCTCCTCGCGGGCCCGCCCGGGCGCGATCCGCGCCGGGCGTTGCCCCCTCCATCTCTGGGCGCCCCTGGAAGCACGAGCTCATCTGGCTTACGACCTCGCACTTCCGGCCGCTGGGCAGCGGGGCGCGGGCTTCTCTCCGGCGCTGGAGCTCGCCCCCCTCGGGCTGCGCGGTCGGCGACTACACGACATCTGGCGCGCTGTCGACGCCCGCGCCCTCGCCCTCGCCCCGGCATCGCCGTCGGTTTGCGCCTGCTGCCCTGCTGGGCCTTCCCTGACTCCGGATCCGCCCGACTCTGGGGAAATTCGTAAGTAGGGCTTGGAATTTCCGCCTTACTTTTCAAGCCCCGCTGATGCCAATTTCCGCCCTACTTTTCTGTTGCTGCTTCCGCCCTACTTCTGTGGAGTTCCGCCCTACTTTATGCTGGGTGCAGACATTTCCGCCCTGCATTTTCGGCTTCTTAGAGGTGGATTTCCGACGCAATTTTAAGTTGGAAAAAAACCAAAGTAGGGCGGATCTGGAGTCAGGGTTGGGCGGGCACTGACCCGCGAGGCCGCGCTGCTGCTGGCCAGCTCCGGCGCCCCCGGCCCCCGCGCGCCACCCCCTCGAGCCGGGGGCCACGCGCCCTCGAGCGCGCCTGAAATCATCAGGTCCTCCTCCTCCCCCTCCTCCTCCTCCTCCTCCTCCTCCTCCTCCTCCGCCTCCTCCTCCTCCTCCTCCCTCCTCCTCCCCTTCCCCCTCCTCCTCCTCCCTCCTCCCTCCTCCCTCCTCCCTCCTCCCTCCTCCCTCCTCCCTGCTCCCTCCTCCCTCCTCCCTGCTCCCTCCTCCCAGTTGCGGACTCAAATGTGGCCGGGCACACTACGCACTCGAGCTTCGGTTCTCTGGCTGGCGCGGCGAATCCATCTCGGGATGTCGGGCAGCAGCGGCGAAGAGGCGAAGAGGGCTGCGTGCCACGCGCAGCGCGACTGCGTCGGCATCTCGGCACGTCAACTCGCGCAAACCGCAATCGCTCGCATTCGCGAAGACTTTCGCTACGTTCGCCCTCCAATGCGACGCCCCACCGCCGATGCCACGCGCGCATAGAACTGCTTCCTTGATGGGCAGAACGAGTTGCGCGCGCCCCCGTCGCCCCAGCAGCCGATGGCCATCTGCTCGGCAGCCTCGCAAGCATCCGCGCCCCGAAGGAGGAAGCACACTGCAAAAGTCAACGGGGCCCCGAGATCAAAGATCTAACGGGGTCGGCATATAAGAGAATACTACACCTCGCCATCGCTCGGAAGTCCATTCCCCGTGCATTGTTCGATTTCGTGCGTGCATGTTTCGCCAAGGGATCAAAAAAGCTCCTCAATGGCCCACGCCGAGAAAAAATGCACACGTCCGAGCGACGCCAAGACACCAGCCCCAAGCTCTTGCAGGCTGACACACGGTCAGCCCGAGCCTGACGAGCCCACGGGTTCGCGGTCTCAGCCACCCGGCCCCGGCAATCAAAGTCGGATCGTCAGGCCTCGCGTCAACGCGAACCGTCGCCAGGCACTGCGCGCGCTCGCGTCGGTGCGACACCACTTGCCGAAGCCCCATGAGCCCGCGAATGCGAAACTCCAGAAATAAAGGAGCTAGTTTGAGTCGCCGAGG